CACACACACACTCACTCACACTCTCTCTCTCTCTCAATTCAATTCAGTTAAGCTTTATTAGCATGACTGTGTAACACAATGTTGCCAAAGCATTAACATATATATAACAACAACATAAATAACAACATAAATAATAATAAATAAAATCCATCTAAATAAATGAAAAGATAAAGTAAGTCAGTATGGAGTTAATCATGTTTAACATCTAACATTGTGAATGGCTAACACATATTTAGCAGCTAGTGCAGCTGTGTTGTCATCTTCTCCAAGTAAAAAGGGCATTTTCTCAGTATCACTAAGTTCAGTAAATGATGGGATCAGGGCTTCAAATCTGGGGAGAAATGTTCCCCTCACATTGTGATATTTAGGACAGATCAGCAGAAAGTGTTTCTCGTCCTCTATTTGCTGTAGATCACAGTGTCTACAGATCCTCTGCTCTTGCTCTGTCCATGTTTGTCTATGTCTTCCTCTCTCTATTTCTAAATCATGGTTACTTAATCTGTATTTGGAGAGGATTTGTCTTTCTTTAAATGGTTTAATCAATAAATAATTGGCAAATTTAGTGGTTCTGTTTAGGGTTGAGTAGCATTGGAGTTTATTTTGGAGGTCAAAGTGTATTTTTAGAGATTCATCATGAGTGTCTTTTAGATTTTTGTCAATTTCTTTAATAATGGCTTTGGGGCTGAAGCTGTAGTCAGTGAGGAGCTGGGTTTTCTGGACTAGCTGAAGAGCGAGCGTGTTTAGAGGATGAGATTCTGCTGAGGTTTCATTGGCGAGGAGGGCTTTATATCGGATTGAATCAGGATCAGATTGATGGAGGTGATGCCAGAACTGAACACATCTCTTCTGGATCTCAATCTTCAGTGGGTAGAAGCCTAATTCAGCTCTGCAGGCATTGTTGGACGTACCTCTATGGACCCCTAAAACGTTTTTGATCAATTCTAGTTGTAGTTTTTCTATTGAAGTTTTATCCCAATTTTTAAAATGTATTACTCCCCAGATTTCACTCCCGTACAGTAGAATTGGTTTAATGATTACGTGATATAATTTATTCCATGTTTTAATTGGTAATTTTAATTGGCCAAGCCGTGATTTGATAGCATAAAATGCCCTCTATTAATAAAAACTAAAATAACCCATAAATTCAGATTCTTTAATAAGTAGCTGTGTATGTTTGTATATAAACGTTTACCGGTGTATATATACATATAATTATAAATATACTTATTACATAATAAAAAAAATATAATATAAATATAATATAGTTTTTTTGTATTAACTTTAGAAAATTTTATTATTATTATTTTATTTTATTTGATCTTTTTTGGATTTATGTGAGTTTCATATATTCACAGGCAGAATGAATTTGTTTAATTTTAAAATGAAAACAAAAAAATACAAAAATAAAAGCTAATTGAAAATATTAAAATAACACTGTTGACTGTTGTAGATTTCAAACTGACTGATCTTTAAAAAAATTATATATATGAAGCTTATATATATTATATAACATTTAGCAATTCATTTTTAAATTAAAAGTTGTATTTTAGTAATTAACATTAGTTAATGCACTAACATGAACAATGAGCAATTATATTATTACTATTATACTCATTATTGTGCAAATTACTCCAATAAAACCCTACAAAATGAGATATTTTAGAGCAAAGAAGATTTTCCTGACATTTTATTGTTCCATGATATTTGCGTGTTTTCTCAGCGCAATGTAACGTTTCTGCTGAGAAACACCGAAAGGCCACGAGAGGTTTGATCTGAAGCAGGATTCCAGGAGCTCGTTTTCTCTAATAAACCTCATTCTGGAGACGCTTTACCTGACCTTACCACGAGCCTGCAGAGAGCCTGGTGACCTCACACACACACACACACACTCACACACACACACACACTCACTCACACACACACTCACTCACTCACTCACTCACTCACTCAC